GACATTAGGACTTGTGGTAACTTAACCTCTAGTTGTTGATTAAAAACAATAATAATTATTGTTTAAACAAATTTCTGCATTCCATACCTAGCTGAATTATTTAATGTGAATTTTATTTATTGTTTTTGTAAAGTTGAAACTTGCAGACTGCTGAATGTTAAAAAGTTTGATAAAACAAAGTAATTTCTATTTCCCTGTTGCAAAATTCTATGGGCATAGTTAGTAGGTACAAGAAAACATAACAACAATCCTTTTTCTTTCAATGATGTTTGATCTATCATGTATTAGCTTCAGAATATTATGATCGAAGATACTTATCACTGAGACTATATTTTTACAAAGATATTAATGGCATATGGTAATAATATTCTAATATCCTGTTTCTTTTGTTCCAGGTCTCTTCGACTAAAAAGCTTTTTTTAAAGCACTGTTCCATAAAGACTTAAAACTATCAACTTGTTTTATTCATATTCCTAATAGCAATTTATGTAATTAACTAGCTTTTTCCCGCAGCTTCACCCGCGTGACATTTCAGTTTGTCAAGGATCGTCTTAAATTATAGCCTATTCATGTTATTCTGGGCTTTAAACAATGATACTGTAAAGTTTCATCAAAATCCGTTCAGTAGTTTTTGCGTAAAAGAGTAACCAATGTGTTAACAATCAATAAATCATTTTTATCATCCAGACGTGCATAGAAACTTTCGCATTTATAATATTAGTAAGATTACCAAAAACTACAAATTACACCCTATACTCAGCAAGTCACAAGGTGAGGAAGGGATAAGAGAATGTCTCCAACTTCCTCATTGGCCCTAGAGCAATTCCAAGTATACCATCAATAAAAGCCTAATTAGAGTCATCAAACCTCTCAGTCATTCAATTAGAGCCATTAGAACTTCATAACTATGAGTTGTTTTCTATGTGTAAGCTGAGGACACGTGTCTCCAGCTGACACATCTGAGCCCCGATTACGGTATTTTTTACCGTCAACAATCCAGACACGCTTCTCGAATCTGCGATACGATTGGTCGTTCAACAGCGTACGTCAGCTGTTTTGACCAATCGTATCGCAGAATCAGAAACGCGTCTGGATTGTAGACGTTATAAAAGTTACCGTAATCGGGGCTCTGTATCTTCGTAAATATTTATGCTACGATAATGTATTATACCTCAAAAATTACAGTCGAATCCAAATAGTAGGCTTTCCACTTTTCAAGACTTTAGCTCAAATACTGTTAAAACCACAATCAAAAAACTATGTGCGAGCTGGAGTACCGTGTCTCCAGCTTACACATCTGTATCTTCGTAAATATTTAAGGCCGGGTAACAGAGAAAATGGCGAAAATGAGGTTTTCATTTTTCATTTTTGAGGTACTAAACAGTAAAATAAAAGGCTAAGATTTTTTTTGAGCATAGTTGAGGATATTTTCTAGGGCTATTAACGGATGGAAACACGATTTGATGAAGTTGACTCGATAGAATAAATTCCCAAAGTTACCTCTATTCGTTCTCTAATAATGGTTTTATTTTTAAAATAAGCGATTTGAGATTCTGAATCTTTTACTAAACTAAAGTTCAGAAATAACTTGAGGGCTTTTAACGGATGAAATTTTTATATTGCGTCTTATTTAGTTACTATGTTAAAAAATGTGGAAAAAATCGCCCATGACGGCTTGGACAATCTCAATCAGTCGCGCGGTGGCGCTTACGGAGGACGGACGCGTGCCAGTTTTTTGGCCGTGACACCAAAAAGATGGCAGATGCAGCAGATGTCAACGGATTTAAAACTGGAGTTCATGTTACTCCTTGTAGACTTGAGTGTCTAGAGCGTCACTTCCTCCACCATGCGTAAGAATGTTTCAAAAATACTGTCTAAGGTCTGTAGCTAAAGGTCTAAGCTGCAAGATAGAAGAATCTTCTAGCCAAAAAGATGGCAGATGCAGCAGATGTCAACGGATTTAAAACTGGAGTTCATTGTGACTCCTTGTAGATGTTACGGTTAATGTGATAAATTGAAAATTATTAATAATAACCGGTTATTATGAATAATTACCGACAGTCCCGGTAAAAGTGATAAATTAATCACATTTATAACAGTGATTATTTAATAATTCAACCTTAGTACTAACAAATTTCATAAAAGAGCACTACATTTTGTGTACGTGCTCGTGTACAGCCAAACTTTTGAACGTTTTGATATCATATATTAATATAATTTGGTATAAACTTGGAATGTTTCTTGCATAATATTACTTTTCCATGACGCCTATAACATATTTTTTTGATTTAAAGTGAAAAATAGGTTAAGGTGCGGCGGGGGTGGCCCTTGGGCCACCCCTAAGCCGCCTATTTAGTTTTATACACACATAAATGACCTCATATTAATCACATTTACCAAATCATGCGGTAATTATTCATAATAACCGGCGATATTCATAATTTTTACATTTATCACTTTGACCGTAACATAGACATGAGAGTCTCTAGAGCGTCCCTTACTCCGCCATGCGTAAGAATTTTCCAAAAATACTGTCTAAGGTCTGTAGTAAAAGTCTAAGCTGCGAGATAGAAGAATCTTTCAAAAAGATGGCAGATGCAGCACATGGGGCATTCCACGCGAAGCGGGCAGGTAAAAAAAGTCGATGTTTCCGATTTCAGTAATATTTGAGTATGTTCTACCTATACATATTATTGATACGTGTACCAAATATTTTTGTAATATAATGACTAGTTTAAGAGTTATGGTTCTTCGAAGTTTTCGACAACCGGTTGGCATGCAGTACTTCAAAGCCGATTATGGAGTCATAAAATTATATATTAAAATAATTAAACCACGGGATTTATTACTTCATTTACCGTGCTTTTTAACTGTATTTTTGGAAACGAAAAAAAAATTATTTTTTCCTAAAAAAAATGCAAATTAATTTTTTTTCCTTGATTTTCACAAAGTTCGACCCTTTCGATTTTTTTATTTTTTTTTATTTAAATAGCTAATATTGTGTAGAACATTCATGCCAACTTTCAAAGTGGGCGTGGAAGTGGATTCGGAGCTAGACTGAAAATACTGCCGAAGGGTGGCGTCCAGCGCCGCGCCGTCGCGCTGCCGCGCCTGAAGCCCGCCGCCTGTGCGCGTTTAGTGAAACTGACAAGCAAATAAAATCACTTTTGACGGAATGTTTTGTAGATTTTTAATAACACCAAGACATTTTTAATACCTATTAAATACTAAAATACGTTATAAAATAAAGTAGTAGTAGTAAATAAAGTTGCGTTTTTCCGTATCGTGAAAAATAAATTACATTACTCGTAACTGTGAATATTTCCTAACAAAAATAGAATGAGCTGTTATTTTTATACCTTTCGAGTTACAAAAGGCGATTATGTGGGAGGCAGACGGTCGTCAGTGCTTTCATCCTATTCCTATGAAATTAAGTTGCGGAAACGTCACAAAATCAGAATACATTTTAATTTTTCCATCCCGCATCATAAAAACTAAAAAGTCAAAAGTAAAATTTAAATAGTAAATATTTTTCATAAACAAGCTTTTGATGCTGTAAAAAAAGAATAAAATAAAACATAAATTCTTTCAAACCAATCAACTTATTACATTATTATGTATGATGTACTGTCTTAGGTACGATACAACTACGGATTAAGATCGTTTAGTCGACGCAGCGTTGAAATTGTACAGATAAATGCAGTTTGCGCACTCACTACGCGACGTCAAGCAATAAAAACCTAAAATTCGAACGCCAACTTTTTGCTACAACGCTCTTAAGTGTAATTTACAACATGTATTAAAAATTGTATATATTTATTTATTAAATGTACTTAACTAATGTGTTGCAATTTAATTAAGAGATCATGCATTGTTATTTTTAAAAAATGCTTTATTGAAATGTATGTGCAATTTCATTTGTTAATGCTAAATAAATATTCCGCAGTTATCTTGGTTTATTCATTCTTCCAATATTTCTATCTAGCGATTTCTAGCCATAAGACCTCATAGAAATTCTTTCGTAGCGATAAGAACGAGAACGAGTGCTTATTTAATAAACCCATCATAATAGTACATTGGACATTTTGAGAATTGGACGTTTCGGGAACTGAACATTTCAGGAATTGGACATTTCGGGAAATGGACATTTTGGGAATTGGACATTCTGAACCTGCAGGACTCCATCAGCAGAGTTCCTAAATAGTGCAGTCAATAATATATCGGAAGTAAACGATAAATTACTTATGTTCAAACCTTAATCGAGTGTAAATAATTATAGCCTGACCAGGAACATAAAAACCCTCGCCATGTTGCGGAAAACTAATGGTACTAATTTCTTTTAAAACATTGATGTAGCTTAAATATTTACGAAGATACAGATGTGTAAGCTGGAGACACGGTACTCCAGCTCGCACATAGTTTTTTGATCGTGGTTTTAACAGTATTTGAGCTAAAGTCTTGAAAAGTGGAAAGCCTACTATTTGGATTCGACTGTAATTTTTGAGGTATAATACATTATCGTAGCATAAATATTTACGAAGATACAGATGTGTCAGCTGGAGACACGTGTCCTCAGCTTACACATAGAAAACAACTCATAGTTATGAAGTTCTAATGGCTCTAATTGAATGACTGAGAGGTTTGATGACTCTAATTAGGCTTTTATTGATGGTATACTTGGAATTGCTCTAGGGCCAATGAGGAAGTTGGAGACATTCTCTTGGAAGGGATTAGCAACTTTTCTTTATTGTACTGATTTGATTCCAACTAAGGATTATTTTACATTCCTAGTTTCCTTCATCACTTGGTAGATAATGGATAATTTTTTGAGATTGTACCCACTCCCAGTCAATTTCAACACAACATAGGATCTTGTACATCACTGGCTATTATAGACTACATCATTCTACTTTCACAAAGCAACATTGAAATATGGTGCCACAGCTGTAGGTAATTAGGTTCTATAGTGCTGTCCTATTAATAGGAAAAATTAAGTGAAGTCTATAGGTACTAACAATTTATTAAAACAGCTAATAAATAAACCATATCTATGCCTAATTCTATTTATCCCCACATGGCTCTCTGTACACCGGACAGTTTGTTGTAGTCGGCCAGATGTCTCCAGACAATACGGCTCATGCGCCAGTCCAAAACATTACCTCTAGGTCTGAAAAAAAAAAACAAATTAACAAATGTTTAACAACAGGCAATGATTTGGTAAAGAAGTTCATAGTGGAAGCAATAATAATAAAATTAGTACAGTACAAAATAAATGCTAAGCAATGTTTTTTTGTAAAAATTAAGATAACATAAAGCTCATTTACTGAGAACATTAATATTGTAACCACATAAATTGATATAAATTTTATTATGTACTGTAGGCCACAGTTCCAGCTACTCATTTGTTAATTCTTACACTCGTCAAATGGCGTATTTCTTTGCAATAGAAACAAGATGTCATGACTGGAAATGGGTAGCTGTAACTGTGGCACACTGTACTTATTTAATGGTTATTATTTATTATCATTACCTGGAAGTAATAACACATCTGTTGTTGATTCTCAAAGGGATTGCGTTCATCTCAAATTTGTTGATATCTTTGTCAGCCATTTCTCTAATTTCTGCAGGTAACACGTCGTTTTTCCTCATGGCATTAATGCGGGTTCTTTCTAGGAAATGCTCGGCACTCATTCGACGACGTTTCACATCCCTGATCATAAGACAATTGGCCCATTTATTCCTTACTTGCTGGTACTAAAACATAGGAAAGAATTGTAGGTTATGTATTGCTAAAATATTTTTCAACATTTCTAAGAGGCTTCATGTTTCATCAAGACGTTGCATGTGATTATAAAGTTGATAAATATTAACAGTTTTAATTTATACAACTACTTGTAGGAATTGAGTCATAAAATAAATATAAAATTAATTACCCCAATTCCCGCTACAGCTTGAGATTTCCAAACAAACTTGCCAAGATTCGACACGTTTAAATTCATTTTGATAGGTAGTTGATTCCTAATTCGTGGTTCTAACTAAAGTAATAATTTCGTTTAAAGTATGTTACGATTTTTAAAGTAAATCCAACACAGAAAATCCAAGCAAAGAAGCGATATTTACTTTGTTTTGAGTGGGTTCTAAGGGATGGTGGTGTTGTTCTCTAAAATCAGTGACAGCTATGCCAGCTATAGTTACAAATCAAATCAAACGTCTTGGTGTGAATTGACCAATAAGAGACAAGAGTTGACAAAACTGACATAAGAAAAAAAAACACTGCTGGCAATAATATCACAGCTCCAGTATTTTTTTTTCATAATTCTTTCTAGCAAACACATTTCCTATTTATAACTACATTAACTTTGTTCACAAAAAACACAAACTAATTATAGATGACCCACGCTGAACTGTCCCACCAAACTCAATGACAGGGGGGCGCTACCATCGTTCAACTATATGGTTTCCAACATGGCAAAAATCTGAACCAGCGATCCGGTATTGACGGTGGCGCCCCGCTGTCAATGTCATCGACAGGACAGTCCAGCCCCCCTAGACAAAACGCACATTTTGATCGAATCGAAAATCGAATCCGTCAAAACTCCATACAAAAAAGGGACTTTTCGACCACTTTTCGACTGGTTTGCGATTATAATTTGCACTTTGTCTAGACCCACAGTATTTTGGACACAGATAAGGATAGATGCAGCATGTGTCAAAATTTGTATAGTTCCAAAATACTGGACTGTCCTGTCGATGACATTGACAGTGGGGCGCCACCGTCAATACCGGATCGCTGGTTCAGATTTTTGCCATGTTGGAAACCATATAGTTGAACGATGGTAGCGCCCCCCTGTCATTGAGTTTGGCGGGACAGTTCAGCGTGGGTCATCTATNCAGGGTTTGTATTAGTTTTAGTGGAATCACTAATTGGAGTTTGAGCAGGGGTTGATACAGCCGAGGTATTCGTGAGGTCTTTTTTGGGTAAACCAACAACTGAAGTTTTAAGATGGCGGGAATGCTTTCGGCGCCTTTTTGCAGAAATTTTAGGGGAATGCTCAGAAACAGCCGCTTGTAAAGAACTAATAGAACTATCAGTATCCATATTAGCCGATTCATTTTCCTTTTCAGACGATACAGTAACAAAACTGGCTGGCGGAGGGACGAAACCCCCCGAAGGATCGGGGGGCTCGTTCATGTTGAAAAAAATATCAAAAAACTTACCTAAATATCAGCAAACTACACAAACTATATATACACACACTAGAAATAAGTAATATTTAAATAAATAAACCCTTCTGATCACGTAATATCAGTAAATAAAAAGTTTTTAAAATTAGCAATAAAAAACGCGCCCGTCACGCTCACGTTTCCCCCAGTGACAGCTATGCCAACTATAGTTACCAATCAAATCAAACGTCTTGGTTTGAATTGACCAATAAGAGACAAGAGTTGGCAAAACTGACATAAGAAAAAAAAACTGCTGGCAATAATATCACAGCTCCAGTATTTTTTTTCTTATTCTTTCTAGCAAACACATTTCCTATTTATAACTACATTAACGTAACTTTGTTTACAAAAAACACAAAGTAATTAAAATATGCATACATTAAAAATATATTTTATAAATTGCTAGATATTTCTACTATCTCTACTTATTTTCGTTCTAACAATAATTAGTTTCCCTACATTTTACCTTGCTCTATGATATGGCGAATGCACAAGCACACACAAGCCTACAATACAAATAAAAAAAAAGCGAAACTTGTCAAAACTTGCTGAAAATTGTCAAAAACAGTGGTCAAAAATTAAAAAAGGCGGCTTTCCTCCTCTACTTGTTGTTTTTTGATTTTGTTTGTTTGTTGTTGAGGCTTAAAGTTAGATTTAATCCTAGAAAGTGGTAACAACTCTGCAAAGATGAACTCTCAAAGAAAAAGATCGCAAGTTCTCACCGGCAGTACTGGAAGTCCAAGTAAGAAGTTGAAGAGAAATCTACATCCAAATTCTTATTTTCAAATAACACTAAAAGAAAGCGGTTTGATAACAAATTGCCCTTCTGATAAGAGCATAATTAATCAAGAAACAATACACACAATTCGTCATCTTAAAAAGAATCTCGAAAAACACATCGACTATCCTAGAAATGTTACAGAATTTATTTCCAACCTAGAGAAAGAATGTCAAGATTTAGACGTTTATAAATTTTATTTGTTTCCTAACATCATTCGGCGTGTTGAAGATAGCCCTGAAGACCACCATATCAGTGATAGCCTATTTAAAATTTTGCTTAGTGTACCAATTTTGCAAAACAAATTAATGGCTTATATTTTCAAAAAAGCTGTGGATTTGGCAGCAGAATCTAAATGTGGACCTTGGATACAGATGATATTAAAATGTTTTTCTTCATTGGACTGCATAACTGACACTGATAAAATGTCCCTACATTTAATTGACCTGTTGGATATAGCAACAGAAAAAAATGTCCGCTTAGAAATTATTACAGCTATCCCAGACATAGTAGGAGACCAAGAACACAACAATATTGCTTCTGAATTGAGTAGGATACTGAGTGAGGATCAAGACCTCATACCTGCTATTTTGGAATGTCTATCTTACCTTTGTTTGTCTGATGAACAGCATGAGCAACTGCAAAAGAAAACCCTCAACATTTTAATGTCATTGACAAAATGTGAATATTTTCCAAATTTTATAAAGTTTCTGCTTATGCCAGGGCGCATGAGTGATTCAGCTTATTATGAAGCTGTCCAGGGCATCAGAAATTCACTCAACTGGCCCTCATCGTTAGCTAAACCTCAAGAAATAGCTACAAGCCAAGTTTTGACTGCTGCAGCTATTAGGAATTCCATGTTATATTCCAAGGTCACTGCGAATGCCTGGCTCAAAATAATAAATTCATGTAAAACCAGTACAGATCACAAGCCAATTGATTTTATAATTCTTTTGATATTCTACTCCATTTCTGATGAAAAACAAAGACAGGTTGAAAACTTAATAAAAAAGCAAATCAAACTGGATATTTTGAAAGAAGATTTGTTAGAAGAGTGTTTTGATAAGTTTGTTCCAATATTAAAGGACAATTTGAAGAATCTAATAAATCTCACTAACTCATTATTGAAAACAAAAGCAGATGCAGTTGTGGAGACATTTGCTGCTAGATTATACATGCTCATGTTTTCCAAATTGGAAGATTCTTGTCAAACTATTGTAGCAGAATTGCTTCAGTTGGGTTTAGATTGCCAACAAGCTGTGCTGAGTATACTGCTTATATTGAATAATGTTGCATCTAAAGATATGTCTTTATTGAAGCCACAAAGTGTCCAAATGTTGTCACTGTTAGACAGAATGGACAACATGAGTTTGAACGAAATTAGAGCAGTAATGAATTTGCTGTGTGGTCTTGCTTACAGCTATGAAAACTCAGTCATCAGGGATGATATTCATATGATTATAAGAAAAGAATTAGGAAGTTCCATTCCGAAAATTAAAATACAAGGTATATTAGCTGGACTACATGCTGTAAAGTTTTTAATGAGTACAAATCATGATGATGACCAAACTGCAGATTTTCCAGATGATGTAAGTTACAGTTCTGTTACTTTTTTGGCAGAAGGTGCTCTAAGAGAAGCAGCACAAATCATAGAATTAATAAGTAGAAGCACAAGACAGTTTCCAGACATGATTGCGTTTTTTTATGATGAATTGACTACTATAATTGAGTCGGCGAGTGTTATCAATAAAAACTTCTTATCATGGTTAACTGATGCAGTTACAAATGACTTGCAGCAAAACTTTATAGTAGATAACATTGAAGTTGAAAGAGTTGGTGATATAAAACTATCTATGCAATATTGTATTAACGCAGATAGTGAAATGGATGAAACAATCGCCATTAATATTGCAGGATTAACATTGCAGCCTAAAATTGCAGTCAACATTGGTATATTGTCACCACTTTTTCAGTTAGTTCAAACACTGCACTCTAGACAGCATGATGGAACATTATCAACAATAGATGCTTTGTTAGGATGTCCTGTAATAATGCCACAATTTGATGTAGACCTTGTTGAAGATATGGATAACACCACTATCAACAACATACTGGACTGTATAATTCATTGTGAAAATTGGTTCAGGGAATTGTTGAATGCCTTTTCAACCCAAGATGATGATGCACTTAAGGCGAAAATATTAAAAAGGCTAATGCAAGTTGAAGATTTGGAAACCCTAACTGCCGAGGTGTTATTAAAAACTAAAATTGCGTATAAACCACCAAACTGCATATTTAACATTAGTAAGTACATAGGAGAACACGCTGAAAAGAAACAGAATGTGAAAGTTCCAAATACTAAATCTAAAGCTCAAAAGAAAACAGCACAAGATGATACTGTGCTACCTGAAACAGCAAGATCGCAAGCAACTCAAAATAATAATACCGTTAAGAACAAACTAAATGTTATATGTAATTTACCTTTGCGGCAATTAAATTTGAACCTGCTTCATTTACTAAATAATGACCTAGGTGATGAAAATGAGGAAGCAAGCAATTTAACTATCAAATCTCTTACATTTTTATTAAAGTGCACTAACAGTAAGCTGGAATCTGTCTTATTATCAAAGATAAAAAGGAAGACATTTTTATCCAAACCTGAAGAAAATATTTATGACCCTAAAAAAGCTGAGGACTGTGCTACGTTTGTTAGTAAAGTCCTCCCAAAAATGGTGGACCATTTAACAATTGTAACTTCATATTTAGACTCGCATACGAACACCCAAAATGAAAGTGGATTCATTTTTACATCAGAAATTTTGGATTATATTACATGTTTGGAGTACATATACAACATGTTCACAATTTATTTAAAATGGATCGGATTCAGAAGTCATCATAATGCTTTGCTAAAAACTTCGTTAAGAACTTTAGCATCAATAGATGGAAATGCTAACCTGGTGTCTCTAAAAGATTTGCTATTAGCAACTGCTAAAAATTTTCAAAAACATGAAAAATACTGTATGCTCTTGTCAACTGCGATGTCGTTGATAGAACTGATAAACACTATTCAAGAGTACAGTGATAATAGAGTCATCCTAATAATTTTACGAGATATGGCTCAAAACTTCTTATCCATACAATGGAAGACATCAGATGGAATTCCAGAGAAAGGCTTGGTTTTCAATCAAAGCGTTGATAAGCTGGCTGAACTGTATTTCACGAACAATGAAATATTGGCCCTTAAAAATCTTACATTGCAACTAGCTGATGAAATCAAATATCTGAAGAGTCGCAATGATACGCTACCTACTTTCAAATGTGTTACCAAAGGTAACTTCCCCGTTTTGTATAGAAATCTTGGCTCGGCCGTTTACGAATCGACCAAATCTCGTCTGAACAAGGGCTTGACTAATTCTGAACACTTGGGACTATGGAAAGATGTGGCAATAATTCTTAAAAATATGTCGGACATTTGTAAGGTTTTAGAAAACAGGAACAACTTATCGGCGTTTTTTAAGAAATCTGTCCCAGTTTTGAAACTATTTTTATCACAAGGTATTCCCATTCTAGAAATACAGTTGAAAAATGACACAGAAGAAGTGTTGGAAATTCTCAAGATTCTTCAACAATCCACAAGATTTTTGCAGTCATTGTGCTGCCATTCTAGACTAAAGAAAGACAAAGTGCTAATGAGTAAAGTTCCTGGTATCAGGCAACTGCTAGAAACCCTGATTTATAAAGTTAAAGCAGCTTTGGCTGCTAACAAATGTTCGGAGGCTTTCTGGATGGGTAATCTCAAAAACAAAGATATACACGGAGAAATTATTGCTACGCAACAGAGCATTGAAAGTGAAGAATCTGTTGAAGATAACGATGAACAGCTACCCGACGATGACGACAGCGATGATAGTGATGACGAAATGATTAATCCGGATTCTAAGAGTATGAGTGATATTGTATAAATTATAATTATCTAATTAAAATAAACTGTGATGCCGTACTTTGCGTTTTATTTGTAAACTATCAGTTTTGATGAGTAGGTAGGTATGGTAGATAGGTGACATAGTTTCTTCGAATTTTTATATTAATAGCGCAATTAGGTTACAATTACATAATTATCAACTTTAGATGGCAGATTCAATTAACTTCGACGAAGTTCGTTTTAAGTAGGAAATTCTTAGATGTGAAAATAAAAACTGGGTGTGTAAATGATCCTTAGTGCAAGCTTTAATATCCTATCCCATATTATTTCCATGACGGCAATGGGGCACGCATGCATTGCATGGGTAAAGAGATTTCACAAAACAATTACAATGTATGGTGGGAAAACAGCTAATCCTAAGTCTCCCGCGGAACCGCAATGCAAAATAATGGGATATACCTACATGGTGGAATTTTGTAATGCCACCTGGAGGGAGAGTACCTTAATACTGTAGATAGAAAATTTTCCTGAAAGAAAACATTCCTTTATTTTTGAAATGAAATAGAACTGCATTCAAAGATTTCCGAAAATTTCCTTGCCACACCCGGGAATCGAACCAACTGAAATCTGTTAAAAATTCCTGTATTTTTATTACATCGATCGTTAGGGTTAAGTATAAGGATAAATGAAATGAAAGGAAAACCATAAAATCTTAAATTATTTGAACTATGTACAGAAAATTGTATGGTATGGTAGTGAATTTTCGAAATTTTTTAAATGCAGTTCTCTTTCTTTTCAAAAATAATGTTTTCTTTCAGGAAATTTTTCTATCTACAGTATTAAGAGTACTACTTTCCCTCCAGGTGGCATTACAAAATTCCATCCTGTTTAAACAGGACTTCAGAATGTAAACTTGGAAGACCATAAATAAAAGAAAGAAGTTTTAGAAGTCAAATTTATTCCTGTCTAGTACAATCTCTGGGGTGGGCCCATGGTGGACTTCATGTGGAGTGACCTCACGTTCTGCCAGTGCTTCTTCAGCAGAGACACGAGGAAGTTGATCGACAAGTGCACGTTTTGCGCGAGCTCGTCGGGGGTCATGTCGACGTGTCCTACGGCAACCGAGAGACAGAGTACCTGGAATAGATTTTAAAAATTGTTGTAATTTTGTATTAGGCCAATGGATAAGGCCGCAGCCACGGACACGCGGCGCGTTCACTGCATTTTTTAAAACGCTTGTAATTTGCCAGTGCGGCAAGCAAGATTTCATTGAGGGGGAGTGTGATAAAATGGAACACCACCAATGAGGAATGGTCATGTTGACTACTTTGGAATAAAATGGATTCAGTGCATATTCTGTAAATATTATTATGTACAGTAGTAAAGTTAACAATAATTCGATTTTTATTCTGTTGACCATACAATCCAATTTTAATTACCTTCTTCATCTGGAATTTGATGGTAGCTTTGACTTCATCAATCTTCTGGGTCATGGATTCCTGGTGGGAGAGTAGACCAGGGAACTTGCCAGCCTTGTTGAGACCAGGACCCAGAAGACGGGGGATCTGCTTGATCAGCGATTCTGATGCAAGGAAAGCATCGTATCTGTAATCATGAATTTTATTCTGTTAATAAGTTGCAATATACCCTCATGCATATTATGTTGAAAGTCTGCCTTGCAATGGCTTATTTCAATCAGAATGATTCTTTGTCATGGCTTATTCCACTATTCCAAGTAAGCCAATGTCATAGGCAACAAAGAAATCTTACATGAGACTGCAAACAATTCATGTTGATTTTATTTATCTTGTACTGTAATGAAGGTAACATTTAAAACGAAGATGAGAAATGAATAACTCACTTCTTTGCCAATTTCTTGACAAGTTTCTTGTTTTTGTTCAGCTTCTTCAAAGCCTCGGCATCCATGCATGGCACGTTCAACTGTTTGGCCTCGTCGCAGTGCTGCTGGTCACCCAGCACGCATACCTGCATCTTTGGCCTGGGGATGTACTTGAGCCTGGAAAATACCACGAATTTAGTATTCTATCAAAGTGGCAATATCAAAACTGGTCAAATAATATATTCAGAGAAAAGGGTGTCATCAATATCAACAGATAATACATGCAATTTTAAACATCATTATGGGATTTCTTCACACTTAAAATGGTTATAATCTATGGCTTACCCAAAGACGTGTGATATTTTACGCTAAGTCGGTAAGCCGAAGCCCACCTACCCGTTATTTAAAGACTCTGGGTAAAGTCCCGTCAGTCTGACTGACTCCCTGTCCAGATACATGTTTGTAGACATGAATGGTAAATGTAAAAATCTACAAATATGCTCTTTCCAGGTAAACATACTTGACGGTGCCGGAGAAACGCTTGTCCTTCTGCGGGTCATAGTTCTTCAGACCGATCTGTATCTCTACAGTCTCCAAGAAGTTACGCTTCTTATCCTTTGATGCCTGGAGGACGGCATTTACACACTCGTAGAGCGTGTCACGCGAAACCTTCGACCTAAAACAAGATGTCACAGTGAGGTTATAAAACGAAAACTACTAGAAATTATCACATAATGCAAGCACAAAATACATCATGAAACTAAATCAAATCAAAATTAGCCAATTTAGACTAGGATTCACGAGATATTTGAGGATTACTTACGACATTTTTACGACGACACCGCCCTAACACCGTGAATTCAACGAAGTAAAAGACAGCTTTTTTCACAATGACAACTGACAAGTCAGCAACTGTCAAAATTGTCATCACAACATTTTTTTCTCCTCGGGTATACACTTTTTAGCCATCCCCACAATATTTCTGACCATAAAGGTGACCATATGAACCTCGCTATGAGACTTAAGGCCATAAGACTGCGAATCGTACAAAGATGTAAGACATTTTTAGGGTTCCGTAGCCAAATGGCAAAAAACGGAACCCTTATAGATTAGATTCGTCATGTCTGTCTGTTTGTCCGTCTGTCCGTCCGTATGTCACAGCCATTTTTTTCCGAAACTATAAGAGCTATACTGTTGAAACTTGGTAGGTTGATGTAGGTATTCTGTGAACCGCATTAAGATTTTGATGCAAAATTAAAAACACAATAATAAATATTAGGGGCTCCCCATATCCCATGACCTTAAAGAAGCCCAAAGTTAACAGTAAGATAAGACAACCCAGGACCGAGCCGCCTGGAGACGCATGACGCGGAGGGCCGACCCCAAATAAAATGGGAATGGGCCAGGCAAAGTAGTCGTATTGGGGGCTCCCCATACTTAGAACTGAAACTCAAAATATTTTTTTTCATCAAACACACGTGTGGGGTACCTATCTATGGATAGGTCTTCAAAAATGATATCGAGGTTACTAAAATACTTTTTTTCTAACCCGATTAGTTTGCGTGACAGACGCTTCCAAAGTGGAAAAAAGTTGGTCCCCCCCTAACTTCTAAAACAAGAAAATGAAAAATCTAAAAAAAAACATATGATAAAATAATAGGTACATTACTATAAAAACTACCAACGAAAATTGTTTTGAACGAGTAAGCCTAGTTTTTTTTAATACCTCGTAAATCGTAAACCGCTTATTACCGCGTAATCTTTCATACAAATAACTTAAATTAAAAAAATAATAATTTTAATTTCATAAATCAATGGTTACGTAACTCTTTGTGCGTGAGTCCGACACGCACTTGGCCGGTTTTTTAAATCTGAGCCCCGATTACGGTAACTTTTAACGTTTACAATCCAGACACGCTTCTCGATTCTGCGATACGATTGGTTAAAACAGCTGACGTACGCTGTTGAACATAGCTGTTGAACGACCAATCGTATCGCAGAATCGAGAAGCGTGTCTGGATTGTAAACGTTAAAAGTTACCGTAATCGGGGCTCTGTTTGCGCATCTTTTATCCCTAAATCCGGCTTTTACCCGTGGTCCCCCCAACATGTCCCCCCACGGGTAAAAGCCGCCAAAAATACAAATTTGAAATACAATATGCTATTTTTATTGAGGTAGGTATACAATTACAAAATAAATAGGTTTAGGTACAGCTGCTGGGTTAGGAGGATACACACCACGATGACATCCATTAATTTTAGACGGCAAAATGCATCGATATAAGTAGAAATTAATGTGGTGCGCGTCTTGGTCATCCAGTTAACGAACTTTATATCAACAGCATCCAGCAACACAGCAGATTTAGAATAAAGATGCATATTTATTATTCTTCCGAACTACATCAAGAATCAAAGTGTTTGGAGACGACGGTTGCGGATGCCTCGGATATGTGTGGTGCCATGTCACCTTTTGCAATTCCGGATCATGTTGCCACCATCCATACTAAAAAAAATCGGAAAATAACACTTTATTTCGACTACACAAGTTCACAGTATAAACCATCTTTGACGCGTCGTCCGTGCAAGAACGAGGTGAAGAAATTATGCATCAGGGGATCATAATCAATACTTACGTCAACAGATGACACTGGTGGAAGTCTATACATGTCCGAAGGCCCTGTTGGCTTAATGACTCCTTTTCGCTTCATTTTCACAAATCTTTGAAAAGAACCGTATGCGAAACCGTTTACTCTGCCGATGTACAAGTCAATCACCCGTATTGTGTCGACATCTGGCCTTTGAATCTGAAAGGCAATTAAATATATTGCAGGAGCAAAGTGTAAGCCAAAGTCTCCATGACTTTGGCTTACACTCCCCATCCCCACACATAGCCAAATGGTTGGGGTTAACTGAGGTAGGTACCACCAACCTTCTTGGGCATAGTGGAATAGCTTTCAACTTTTTCCATGAGAGGCTTTACATCTTCTTTTCTATCTGGTTCTTGGTATTCATCTCTCAGCATATCTTTTATATAGTTTTGAGGACCATACAAGGTTATTCCAAAGAATTCCATGAAACCTGTGTATTATGGTCCCTCGATAGTTTGTTTAGGTAATCAAGAAAATAACACTACGTTACTAATAAAAATTGTTTTAATTTTGGTTTGTGCCAATTAACTTTTGATGTCTCGTACAAAATAATAATGACATCTGTTGACAAAAGTAGGATTTTTTAGATTTTATTAATATGCATAAAGGTTGGTTTAAAGGTAGGTAGAAATAAATAATTAATAATCATAAAATGCAAGGAACTTAATGTTGGTCCAATGCTAACTGATGCTAACCCCGGTTATAACATTTTCAAAACATCGTTATAGTCTGGTCCGGGAGCACGTAGAATTTTGTCCAATGACCCCAAGCTATCCATCCTTATCGTTCGCGCGTAATTATGTTGCTGTCACGTTCGCACACTCACTGCGGCCCACAGTATGTTATGAGACTGTATAATCGGACATTCTCATTTATTTGATGAACCGTATAGAGCTGAGTTATACAAACATGATATATAGTAAAACTCCCGTTTGAAAATTCAAAGTAGTTTTCGCGGTATAAAAATTCAAAGTTACCTATTTTTTTACTTCAAAATTATGCAAAAATATTCTCACTCCTTAACTAATAACATTTAATTCAGAATTGTTATAATACTTCATAGAGCTCTTAAAACTACACGTAATAAGCGTATTAAGTGCTTCGTAAACGTATTCAGTTAATTGCGCACTGCGCGACACTTGCGCGACTGTGCAAGACGGGCGGCCGCCCGTCTTGCACAGTCGCGACAGCAATATAATTACGAGCGAGTGATAAGGATGGGTAGCTTGGGGTCATTGGACAAAATTCTACGTGCTCCCGGACCAGACTATAGATTAGATTCAACGTTTCGAACATTTATTATCACAAAGCTTTTAGTGCATTTCGGACTGCCCACTACGTTGACAGTTGACAGGATCTGTCAATTTACGACTGCTGTCAGGTCAGCTGTGTCCAGAGAAAACTGACCAATAGAAATCGTTTTAATCCAACTACAGCCAATAAGAATGGTTGTAGTAATCTGTCCAATTAGTTGCCACCAATAATATTTATCTAAACACACTATTAAACTCTGTCTCTTTCTAATTATACCGACTACCGAACCGAAAAAATATTGTAATTTTCGAGAAGTAAAACGTCTCACACAATTAATTTGTTTAAATATTGTTACGTTACAATATAATTTTCCAAGAAGTGAGCGAAGCATTTACGTTTATTTTAGTTGCTAAGACTAATTTCGAATGGTTTTTGTGAACTGATAAATTTTCTTGTTTGTTTCCTATTGTTTTGTAGATCATTACTCATCCTACGTTTACACAATTGCTTGCACACTTTTGTACAAAATTCTTTTCATTCCTTCGTAATGGATATGGTAAGGCATGTTCATATTAATATGTAGTCGTATTAGAAACTTTAAACCGGCTTTAGTGATGATTTTATCATTATTTAAAACATACTAATATATCACATTCATTGAGGAGCTTTTAATTTGCAAACTGCACATTAATAAACTATGTTGATTCATGAGAAGAGAAGATAAATGATTAAAAAGTACAATAGGTACCACTTTATAAATAGAAATGCAGTCATCATGACCTCTAACTTGTCTTGTTGTTGCCATTGTTAGCCTTTTTTTACCTCCTATTATTTAAACACAGATTGTAAACTAGCATCTTGGTGAAAGAACTGAAACTTTGTGTAAATAACCTAAAATAATGTGTTTCCAAAATAATCTATTTATTTTTCATTTTCAGCTTGGTGTATCTGAAGAAAAGAGGCAGGTGCCGAAAATGTTACAAAATATCCTGAGATATGACGTTCAAGTCACCAAGAAGTTTGTGGAAATGGCCCTGAAGACATCTCCGTTACGATCACTTCGTAATCATGCAAAACTTTTGGAGGTACATAGATCCATACATATTTTTATGACTACATACATAGTACCTATGTAACTGATAATGCTAGTTACTCATCTGTAGTCTGAAATGACTTTCTTATCTAAAGTACAATGATTAAATGAAAGGCACTGTAACAGTTATACTTCATTTCAAAGAATGTAAAACAATTTTCTTACTGTGTTAGAACAGTTCATGCAAAATAACAAACATGTTTTTGTCTCTTTTTAGGTCTCCTGCCATGGCATTGTCTGGCTGGCTGGATGGCTCTCATTTATTTGGTTATTCAATAACAAAGAGCTTTATCAAATACAAGTCAATATGTTAATTGGTAAGTAAAATGTAGATTCTAGTCTGTACAATATTTTTTTTGAAGGAACATGTCTAATGTCTTGATTTCCTTTGTTACAGCATTAATTCTAGATATCATAGTCATCGCAGTCATTAAAGCGTTTGTGAGAAGACGAAGACCGGTCCCAATGAACAAACTCACAGAAATAGGGCCCGACAAATATTCATTTCCCTCCGGACATGCTAGCAGGGCCACGTTGATTGCATTTATTCTGATGTACCAGGATCCCATTTCGTTCATATTCTACCCCCCTCTTCTTGCTTGGGTCACGTCTGTGGCGTTGTCCAGAATTCTGCTGGAGAGGCATTATATTCTGGATGTACTGGGTGGCTTTGGAATAGGCATTTTAGAAGGACTTGTAATGTGCATAGTATGGTTCTCTCAGAGCACATCTTCAAGCATTTTGGCCTCACTTTCTGATGAGAAACGCGATGGAGGAGAATTTCACGTTTAGATTTAGTACAAAAGCACTTTACATTGAAATGAAATGAAAATGAATGAAATGAGCATTATGTTTGATAACTTATAAAAAAGTTCAATGCAGTGTCTTAAATCTAAGAGTGTAATTATGTTGTACCTTTAAATAATACTTAACTTCTGTTATTGCATTTGGAAGCTAACTTTAGTATTGTTAAAACCCCAGTAAATTATAAGTGTTTGATCCTATTAATATAAAACAAAACAGTTAGTTCCCTAGTCATATTTAACGTTATTTGTTGCTTCATACTGTAATTAATATATCTGACGATTGTAATTTGTTTGATAACATAGTTATGTATTTAATTATATGAATAAAATATTTTATTGTGCATTATTATTATACTGTTTTATTTATAGGAGTAGGAGTCTCACTAATAAACTTCAAAGCTAGAAATCATAAAGTAATATAGTTGAAACTAGAAATATTATCCTTACATACTTAATGGACTTTATGACCTTATTGTATAAATAGAAAATAAGATTATTAGATTGTCTTTATTATTATTCTGTATACCTAATAGAGATGAAACGGATATCCGGTAACTATCCGGTAGGCCGGATATCCTAAATTTACTATCCGGCCGGATACCGGATAGTAACTCACTATCCGGCCGGATACCGGATATTAAAAATATACGATAATTTCCTATTAATAAAATTGAATACATTAATCTTTGAGGTAAATATTAATAAAATGGCTTATAATAATGACGGCTTTTATTTAAAGTCCAAAAGTTACAAAAAAGCTATATTAAGGGCCTTTCAAAAAACTTTTTCTTTTTCTGAGCTATTCACTCTAATGATGAATACATAAATAGTAAATATCTGTTAATGTCGAAATATTGCCAAATGAAAAGGCGATCTTTTTTTAACTGATGGTCTGATGACATGCTGCAATTCAGTCAGATTACGCAGCAAGTAAACTAATTTAATTTTCGCTATTCAATCACACACTCACGATAGCAACCGAAATCGCCCGAATTGATCTGCCCCCTAGACAAGTGGCAAAATCTGACATTCTATTCGGACGGATTTGATTATCGAAAAGTGTGACTAGTCTAGTCTACTAATAGACCCACAGATCGCGTTTGAAGCACCTGTGCGGCGCTAAACTCGTCACGACATGCAACGAGACAATGGGCCAACTATCCGGCCGCCGGATATCCGGCTATCCGGCCTAGCAGCTGGCCGGATATCCGGTATCCGGCCAAACAACTATCCGTTTCATCTCTAATACCTAATGGCTTCAATGGTGCGAATCTTGTCTCCATTATATTTACACCCCTCCATGGAATTTAATTGACAGGTGACAGAAAAATTGACATTTAAACGGCACGGTAAAATAATCGAATTTGACAGTTGACGTGGATGGTCTTCAGTGGTTTGTGTTTATCACAGATGTGTTTATTTCGAATTAATGAAAAAAATACATGAAATTGAGTAATTATTAAGTCACAAATTACATTAATTAACGCTTATTGTTAACAGTTTCTTTGCGGCGTTTCGGCTTTGAGGTAAATTGATGTTTTATTTTACAACAAATATTTTACACATTCGCGTATGATAATACTATTCGTACGTGGCTAACGTGGCACATATTCTAAGTTTAATGGGTTTTTACAGTTCAACCATGAGAAAGCTAAAAGGAGCAGTCAAGGAAACAGCCAAACAGAAACGAGAGAGGAAACAAGAATTCGCTAAAATGCGACAGCAAATCAACACGATAGTTTTACCAACTTTTGGAGTTATTTTCTTACTCATCTGTACATACGTGTATTTCAAAACCAGACCAACCTCGATGCAATATGCATAACACAGATAATTTCAGGCTTTTTAGTATAAATTATTAAAACATTTGATAAGGACTAAAACTGGGAAATATTTAAGTATAAGGTTGTGAACTGATTCTGATGCAGAATGGTAAAGGAATGTACCAGAACATGACTATCTTTGATATGATTCTTCAATAGGTAGTATATCTTGCATGTCAGATTTTATTTAAATGCAAATTTTTACCTATACATATACAACATTCCATCATAGTAACATATCAAATTGAATGTAAATAATAGATTATAAATATATTTATATACCTACATAAAATGTCTTTTATTACCTTTAACTAATAAATTGTATTAATGTAATGGCATTTGAGTTAACTTTGGTAGTTAATTTAATTCCTTCTGTTAATAAACATAAAAAGATAGGAAGATCTTTATGAAGTGTTTATACACTAAAAATACTGTAGTGTATAAATTGTCAAAACTGATATAAACATTCTTCTTCTTTTCGTGTCGACAACAAACCTACACAGTGTCAGCCCAAAACTCCGCCACAAGAGTGGCGTTGTCAGTAGCACTCATCAAATCCTCCTGAGTGCAGTTGCTTGGGCACTCAGGGCATGACATCAGGTAAACATTGTACTACCAATAGATTGCAGTGTACAGTGTAGTAAATAAGTCACATAAATATAGGTTTATCTTGTTTATTGGTCAAATAGAACAATTAAAATAATAGAAATACTTAAGTACATGGACTTTTACCTTATATCTATTTTTTTTACAAACATAAGTACTTTGCATTTAACATTAAAGGAAATCTAACGAACAATATTTTTTTACAAAACTACAGTAGTATGCATATTGTGTTCCAACATATTTTAGAATCCAACAATAGACAACAACATACAAAAGTAAACTTGGTTTAATTACTGTTAATCAGTGTTTAAGTGGTATAACAATACATAAAAGCCTAAGTATTGTACATAAATGGAAAAGTTACAAATATTGGTCACTATAGTATTAGTAGCTGGATTACTACTACTTTAATAATTAAAGCTATACATTTTTATTAAATAATCTTTATTCTTTCCAGACCTCAATAATACTAAATGAATATGAAGTACTTTAATATTTATTAATTCTAAAATAACCTTTCAACCTAAATGACATGCTACATGTAGTTTTCGAAAATATTTGTCAAAACATAGGACTAGTTTTGATGTGGTGGTTCCATAATATCATAGTTGAAATGTAACTGACAAGCTTACAATTAATTTAAGTAAAAATTAAATGCACAACTATGTAAGTCTAACCAATGGATTATCTCACTATGATTTGATAAAGTGTTTAAAAATGGCACTGTGCATACTTAAATCTACTTGTAGACTTTATCTTTGTTTCAGGCCACTGTGCAGTTTTGTAAAAAGAGAAGTCATAATTGTGTGTTGTTAGTATCTGTCATTGTATATAGCTTTGCTTTGATTAAGTAGTTTTGTTCATTTATATTATTTAAATTGACTAATATGCCAGCTGTGCTGGTGAGATAAGCAGCACTTTTCTTTATTATAAAAACCACTTTGGTACCACACTATCTCTGTGAATAAATCTTTGAATCTCTAATACATAGCATTTACTTCAACATAATAGGCATAACATAGTGAAGTAAACGCCGCGATGATATATTATCGATAATACTGCTCCGATGTATTCTATCGGCGAAACAGAGATGTGTATTGAAGTAGATTCGCTGTCGCGCTACCGGTTAATACTATCGATTGATATGGCATGGACTACCGATTATCGATAGTAGATGCCGACTGGCGAGCGAACAGCCAGCCCAATAGCCACATTAGCGCCAGTATGAGCCACATTACGCTGAGCACGAGGTACTGATCTGCGATGGGCAGTGTCAGCGATTGCACCAGAGTAAGCGTCAGCAACGCTTGCAATCCCGTGCCGAAAAGTGTGTTGATGCCGAAAATTAGCCCAAAACAGCTCTCGTCGGTCAGTTGGCCGGCTATTTTGGCGCTGGAAGGAAAACATTTTAAGTATTTATTATCAGTATTTTGAATCTCATATATTCTACCGGTAAGGATTTTTGACGCGTTTTCTATGCACTGTATTCTGAAACGACTCGAGTGAAACTAATCTACTCTGTTATTGCTCTAAATTTGAAATCAAATTCAAGAAAGTATCTATGCTTGACTATTGACAGACAAAATGGACTGACTGATATTATTTTTTAACTAACCTGGCCAAAGTGATAGTGTAATGGAACATCATGCCCATGACGATGTATCCGACATACGACACGTATACATTAGCCACGTACGCTGCTGCAAACATGGCGGCGGCTTGTATAGCGGCGGCGGGCGCGGGCAGCCACGCGTGGTATAACGTACAACAAGGTGTTTTAGAATACAGCATTTCAAAGTTCAACTCACCTAGCCAAAGTGATGGTGTAATGGAACATCATGCCCATGACGATGTATCCGACATACGACACGTATACATTAGCCACGTACGCTGCTGCAAACATGGCGGCGGCTTGTATAGCGGCGGCGGGCGCGGGCAGCCACGCGTGGGATAGCGTAGAGGCAGCAAGTGCGCCGCCCGCGCCTAGTAGCGTTTGAGCCGCTTCCACTGCACCGTTGTAGGTCACCTGGAAGGAATACTTGTTTGAGATTTAAGAAAAGTTGTAATCACTCTTATGGGACTATTCCCACCTCTCCTTCCTACCGCTGCAACAACTGTGTAGCCAGGATCTACAGCTTGATTTCCAATAAAAACCCAACCAGTGAAGGTCAAGTTTATACATTCATATAAAACCTACTGTCAGACATGTTTTTATATGCTAGCGGAAAAATAGCACTTTCAAAGCATGTTTTAAAATTGGATAAAGATTTAAGTAATCATAGTCCAACTCCATGTCCAATGGGACATTATTGCAGAGACGGTGTCAATAAAACTTTATTAGCATATAACGCGAAAAGTAGAAAAAGATAGTAATCTTAGTCACCGCTACAATGCAAATGCTATAAACAATACTTATCTGTCTAGAAAAAACAATGTAAATAAAAATGTATCGCGTTTTTCTGAGATTTATCTAGTTGGTAAATATTTAACTTTTGTATGTTTTTTGTTTACAAAATTTTTTTTTTCACACTTCATACTCATCATAGTAGGTATTTGCATAAAGATTAAATTGAGACATTTGTTTATCCATTGATAAACAAATGTCTCAATTTAATCTTTATGCAGTTTTTTCTAGACAGATAAGTATTGTTTATAGCATTTGCATTGTAGCGGTGACTAAGATTACTATCTTTTTCTACTTTTCGCGTTATATGCTAATAAAGTTTTATTGACACCGTCTCTGCAATAACCATATCTCGAAGACGCGTGAGCGGACTATTATTTTGTCCTATAAAATCGTGTTAGTATATTTTAAAACCTCAATCAAGAGGCTGATTAATGATTATGCCAGTTGAGTCCCTAAATAACAGCCTGTAGTTGAAAATAGGATCATGTTTTTGTTAGTTTACTAAAAATCTTATTTTCTGAGGTACCACTAACCCACAGGCAATGAGATTAGTACAATAGTATGCATCTCACAATGAAAATAATTAAGTAGATCATTATTACGATTGTGATTATGAGATTAGCGTTCAACATACTATATTCTATTGGACCAAGAACTAAGATAAAGTTATGTTGTCCATAGTGGTTGTAATAGTTTGCAGTTTGCACACAACTTTGGGAAACTGCTACTAAGCCAAACTAACTTAGCTCTTGGTCTGCGGAGGGGTCTGCAGAGGGCTGAGTGTGAGTTTGTGACTGAGTGTGAATCATACCTTATTAGGTGAGTTTTGTGTTTGTGCGTCAAAAAATGACATTAAATGTATGACGGATTGTACAGCGCCCCTAGCGGGAAACTTTCAAAAACTAAAATCTTCATACATTTTTTAAACGCGCTCACTAGAACTCACACTCAGCCCACTGAAGCTTAATATTGACTTACAGGGTTATCACTCTCATCTTGTATGAACTTCCACAGCAGTTGGACGTAGGTCTGCGCTTGGACGAAGAGCGCTAACGACGCCGCGTATAGCGCTGACCACGCAAGCACCTTGGGCCGCGTGTAGGCCGAGCGAGCGTGCTTGATTATCAGACTCGACGCTTCTAGTAGGTTCTTGCGGAATTGTTTCTGAAATTAAGTGTTATGATTTTTATAACAAACGTAACATAACCCATTGATAGAATATATTTTTAGAGCTGTGTTTGCAAATACAACGCAGCTTTGGTGTTTCATTGAAGAGTACTTTCCTGTGCCGCCAAGAGATGGCGTTGCTTGTAAATTAATTGGCGAAGGCGAGTTGTGGCATAAGAATACAATTTGATAAAGTAAGCTAGAGTGAATGAGACCGAAGAACAGTGGTATTTAATTCATTGTTATAAATTGAATAGCTTTTGACTAAGTTTTTTTAAATCATACCTTATTAGGTGAGTTTTGCTGATGTTTCTCTGTTGTCATACTGATCCGTGCGGCGTGTGCCACAGAACCTCTCCGATGGAAGTAGATGCTGTATTGGACTGGCGGCAGCCAGAACGCCCAGAACGTAGCCAGGATCTGAGCTGCAGAGAATGGTTTGTAAGTTAGTAATCTATTGTTTTGGGACAATGATCTAGGGCAGAAGTCGGCAATCTTTAGAAATGGAAGAGTTCTGTGTTTTGATATAAAGACTAAAGAGTTAAAACATTATCAATAGAGTAACGCCCCTGGGTCTGCGGGTGTCTATGGGCGACGGTAATCACTTACCATCAGGTGATCCGTCTGCTCGTTTGCCTCCTATCACATAAAAAAAAAAAAAAAAAAAAAATAAAGAGCCGCCGCGGCGCTGGTTGCTCTACTTCTGCTAAATAGTAAGTTTCCGATTACTTTACTAGAAATTCATTCGATATTATTAACCTACAACCTGCTTCCTAATTAACTGTTAAGTATTTACTGACCATCATTAAGACACAGGACGTCCATTGTCGACTGCTGAATATAGGCCTCCCCCAAGGATTTCCATATTGCTCGGTTGGTAGTAGCCTGCATCCAGCGTCTACCTGCTTCCCTTATAAGGTCGTCGGTCCACCCTGTGGGTGGATATCTCACGCTGCGTTTTACGTGACCTTTACTGAATACTTCGAAAGAAACTGACCTGTGAAAGTGATGTAGTTGAGGTCCCGAAAGTCCATTAGCTGGAAATGTGT